ACCCTTCCAGAGACAACTGTCGGTATCCTGCTAGCTACAATCTACAGGGCGGAAATCGTCCGAATGGGGTTGCAGCGTACTTGAATTCACAAACGAAGTCATTGGAGAAGCAATTTGTGTAAAACAAATATGTTCCATATTCTGCGAACCTCATATTCATAACATGTCGGAGGAGACCCCCAGTTATGAGGGTCGGGAGAAGAATCTGATTCGTGCCACGCCCGCCCGCGAGCTCAGAAGCTGAACCTGAGTAGGGTGATGTAGGTACCGATGGTCTGGGGCTAGCCAACTGGGTGTGCTTCTTGACTAGGTCCTCCAGTAGAGAGGTTAGAATAAGGGTACCAACTTTTTTCCGTATAGTCTATTTTAGTAGGGGAACTCTCCCCCAAAAGAGGGTAAAAGGGAACTGCGGGGACCTACTTGAGGTCACTTTCTTTACCTGGCAGAGCCGAGACACACATCTCGATTCGCAGAATTCATTGGGTTTATAGTGGGAAACCCAAATGAACCATGTTTACCGGGGTGCTGCATTTTGTTAAAACATCTCATCAGGGTCACAGTGGAACATAACTAACCTTTTCTGTGATCTCATTTGCCCAAAGGACCCACAAATAAAACGCCGACTTTTTTTGTGACCTTGACTGATTGTGTACCAAAAAACAAAACCAAAAGGTCACCAGGTCGATTCGCTTTGGGCAACTGATTGATACCGACAGTCCCCTCGAAACAAATACTTATCACTTTGAACGGGGATGTCCTTGGTATCAAGGAAGCCGCAACTCAAACCCACTTCCCCACAACCGAGAAGGGTAGCAACCTCAGGGGTGATCAATCACAAGCAACCCTGATCGGTTTCCAATCTTTTCTGCCATCATGCAAATCGGTGCTTTGGAAGGCCCTCTTTTGTGCTAGCACAAAAGGGAGTTTTGGTTGATTCACGATTTTAACACACATCGTGAAGGGAACGATACGATTTCACCTCTTGACATGGGCAGCTGTGCAGTTTTCAATACCAGGCCCTCTATGCGGTTTCTGGTCAAACTACCCACAGGGCGGCCAGGGTTTCCTGGGGCTGGGTCTAGCTTTCTCCGCAACTTCCAAGTTCGAGCGGGTCGAACATTTTGTTCCACTACCCTCAAACCACCAGGGGCTCAATGGGATTCACAACCACCAAGTAGTGGAGGGGTGAACACACACCCGATTTTCTTTTGGCGTGCAAACCATCTTAGAGGGAAGATCAATTGGGTATGTGCCAATAAAAATAGGCATATGGACCCCCAACATGGTACTCCCGCAGAAATCAAGCATCCAAAGACCTTAGCGGTCAGGGGGGTCTCTGGGGTGGGGGGTCTCTGGGGCGGGGCAGGGGGCGGTAATCTGAATATTCATTTTTCCCCTTGTTGTCACTTTGAAGGATTGCTCTAACCGGATGACATATCAACAACCCACAATATGGTTTCATTCCCCGACGGGACGTGGGAAAATTGGGGCCTGTCTTCCGAAATGTTGGGCCTGTTCCGTCCGTGTCCTCGCCAAAGCAGTCAACTTCCAATAGTATTGTCAGTTGCTCACATGGGGCCAAGAAGCCGCTTTTAACCGGATGAAAACTCGTCATTAGCCGCCATGCCGAGACCTCTTCCTTTGAAGAGACGTCAAACCTCTCCATTTGGAGAGACCGTGGCTGTCGCTCGGTCCATCAAAGCATTTTCAACTGCCATTTATGCCTGCCGTCCGCTGGTTCCATGATGATACCGTGCTTGATCCACTAGACATGAGCAGAGCTCCTCAAGAAAGCAACAAGACTTCTTCCTGCAACACACATGGGAGCAAAGAGCGAGCTCTCTGCAGAACTGCCGAGAACTTTGCATAAGAAAGCTACCAGCAACCCTAAGAACGCCACCACTGTTTGGCCCTTTGCTATGACAGAGTTTCCTTCAAGCACTTCCATTTTCACGCGCCAACTCCGCGGATTAAACAACCAACCAACCACACTTCGATTCACCCGCCAACTCCGCGGAGCGAAAAAAACCAACCGCCACGACATGATTCGACGCCTCAGGCGTCGAATTGTCTCACGCGAGCTGCTGCAGGGGGCAGCAGATCCGATCTCTGGGCAGAAAAGCGGCTTGGAGCAGCAGATGGCGACTGAACCTTCCGGACATTCGGACCCAGGTGTCCTTTCCGTACTCCTGGATGCAAAAAGGGCGGAGTATAGGCAAAGTGCGCGGGGGCCAAACCCTCGTTTACACACTTTGGTGGGTGTGCTTCTGATTGGGGGGTACCCTTTTCAGGTTCTTTCACAGGGAAGCCATCCGGAAAATTACCATTTCTTTTTCTTGGAGGGTTGCCCTATTGAGACAGGTTTCCTGCGTGTCAGCGGTTGTTGAAGCAAACCCCTTGCACCTTTCAAAGCTTTGCCATGCGTCAGCGAAAACAAAAACACCGAGGCCCAACGGCAGAGCCAAGGTGTTGTTGAAAGCTTTCAGTTCGCAACTCCCGATTTGTCCACCCTCGTGTAAACAAACCCACTGGATTTCTGAGCTTGGACATCTTGCGAGAGAAACCACTCCGCTCCGATGTTCAAAAGGCAGGGCGCGCTGTTATTTAAAGGCAATCCACTGGAACGCTCAGCCCGCAAGAGGTGTGTGTGTGCAGACATGTCGACTACACTTCTCGACTCTTCTAACCCAGCCCAACCAAATTCTTAGCGAACCTCAAAATTTGACATGGCTGTGTCTCAAAAAAAAGTAATCCCAGAAAATTCACTCCTTGGTATCTGAAACCACAGACTAAAACCAGTGGTCCTAGCTCTACATTTTGTTGAGCCACATCATGTCAAAAGAGATCCCAAAACTCTTGAGATGGGCAAGTGAGTCACAATCAAAACCTGGTACTGAAGTGGTCTACCTAGAACCATGTAAAGAATTAAGAAGGCGGCCGCAACCATTTCTGGCCGGGACTGCCCCCTTACTAACCTTCATCTACCCGGGTTTTGATTGTGGCTCAAGTGTCTGTTGGATTCCCTTTGAACCTGCCCTCCTTTTGGAGGTGAGCCACCACAGCATTTCAACATCCCGATGAAACTCTTCACATTCTAAGGGTTTTTGTATTACACCTTGGGAATACACCCACTGGGTATTGACCCCAGTTTGGCACATTTCCGGATAAAACCGTGTTATTTTGAACCGTTCTGGGTCATTTCCCAAGGGTGTCATCCCAGGGGTTCCTTTGAATCAGCACAGGCACAATTGAGCAGCGTAAGGCCATAATGGTTTGTATAGCCCTTACAACATAAGACCAGCTCGGACCCCAACCACCTGCTAAGATGGAATCGGTATTGGTAGCTGCTCACTCCATTTGGGTGTTTCTCAAACTAGGATGTGCAATTCTTTCTTGCTTCACCTAAATTATGTTGTCCACCAATGTGTGCGAAGATTAGGAGACCCTTTGGTGGACATCAGAATTCGGTGAGGATTCATGCCCACCAGCCAAATTCCCATGTTAAGAAACCACCATTTTCAGAAGCCCTCATTTAAGGTGAGCCTTACTAGAGGCCTTACTATACACCGTCATACACCCCTTAAAGCCAGATAATAATAAAGCACCGAACCACCTGCTGTGAACTTTTCGGAGTGGCGCGAACGGTCCTTGCCGTACCAGGAGTCCATCCAGCCGTCCCAGTTAAACTCCGCCAAGGTCATCTTCTTGGAAGAACACCCCGCGAACATGCCTGAGATAAGTTCAAAGCTGACACCCTCCCTGCGTGTCGCCTGTGTGTGATTGTTTGTTTGTTTGTTTGTTTGTTTGTTTGTTTGTTTGTTTGTTTGTTTGTTTGTTTGTTTGTTTGTTTGTTTGTTTGTTTGTTTGTTTGTTTGTTTGTTTGTTTGTGTGTTTGTTTGTTTGTTTGTTCCCAAAAAAGACTCCATTTTCGACCTTGTGAATTTTACACCTTCATATCGGCACTGCTGTGGATGGAAGAAATCCGGGAACCGCACCACTTAGACACCATGGGAAACCATCGTTTGTTTGGTATTTACAGGAGGAATCATCATTCCATGGTTGCTTGGGTGGTGCAGGATTTCGTCCATCCACAGTACTCGTCCTGCTTGGGCTTGAGGGCCCCTGTTCAAGGTGCCTCCTGACAACCATGGGAATAAGATAAGATCACGGATTGATGTACACAGCCATCGTTTTTTTGTTGAGGCGTTCCAACGCTTAAACCACATGGCCAAATCAACATATGCGCGTTGCAATATGCCCATGAAATCCGAAGTGGACGACATAGGCTTCCCTATATATCCCCCAAAGGTGAGCAATCTATGCATGTCCCCTGTGTGATTATCCCCTTCAATCAACTTTCAGAGGTGACCCCAAAGGTCATACCGAAAGGTGTGCAACCAACTTATACCATGCAAAAGCTATTATCCATTGTTCTCGCCTTTTGTGGCAACATCTTTTTGGGTGAAGAAAGCTGCGTGGTATCAATCCCCGTTTTGAGCACCAAAAGGTGCTCAGTGGTTCCATGGTGCTGAAGAGCTTTCGAGGATCTTCGATCTTGTGCTTCTTCTGGACCTTTTTCAGGTTCTCGACGAAATCCTCGCGGGCCATAGCCGGCCATGGGTTTTGAACCGGTTAGCCCCAGTGAACATCCGATTCAATCCAACCACTAAAATAGGTTCTAAAATGGGTAGTGAATTCACCTGCCAACCAAAATGGGATCCCAAAACGGTCTTGACCCACAGCCAGCCATGTTCGGAGCCCCATGGGTTTCTTGGAGCTTGCAGTGCCCCTAAAAAACACAAGTTGCCCCTATTCTGACGCAGAACCCGTATACCCAATTCGTGCTCCCACGGGAAACCAAACATGATTCACCAAGGACAGCCAAATTCGACACCGACATGGACACCTTAACACCTCTTTATGGTTCAAAGGCACACCTTTTTGGGCGGATAAACGCGCACGCCCGGGCCATTTCTCTCGTGCACAACTCGTGGGGCTCCTCAAGAGTCACATAGCCTCGGCACCGGGGGTCGAAGCATCTCTGCCAGCCTTTCACCAAACTCCCGCAGTCCGTGACCAGAGCGTCCTCTCGCGGCTTTTTGACTTCGTCGCAGGTTTTCCGGGGACCCACATGGCTCTCTTGAGGTTTGATTATGGAGTGTTGCTGCTAGGTCGTTCTTCAGGTGGGGGTTGATCAAAAGGTCTTTTACATATTATGACCATTGGGGGAAACCACTAAAAAGGCTAAAAGATGTTATATGTCTCACATGGGAAAAATTACCCGGGCCGAAGGGAAGTTCTTTCCTCCAAATAAAGTCTAATTTTGGGGATGATCCCACCCCCTCCCTAAACCATGCCACCCCTGACCCCGCCCGTGTTTTTGTTTTCTTCAAATGGGGGGTCCCTTTTCGGAGTTGGTACTCCTGTTTTGCTGGCAAAGGACAACGAAAGGAACATCATCCATTTTGGGGTAGCCCACTTTGAGACAGACCCAAATAAGGCCTTTTGGGTGTGGAGAAGACCCCAGCTGACTTCAAAACCCATTGTTTGCTGGCACCTGGAGCTTCTTGGTCTGCTGCGCGATCTCTGGCCAAATCTCCTCACACTGAAATCAGCTCGCGCTCAATTTCCCCGAGCATATAAAAGATGGAAGGGGGAACACGAAAGGACAACCATTTTGGGGTTCATAGTTTGAAACATACACACAGTACACATACCTCTGATTCTGTTTGGTGGTTTCAACCATCATCGACAACTTTACTGTGAGTTTGCTTTTGGTGATTCTCAAAAAGAATTTCGGGAGCCGCGGCACCCCGCCAGATGGTTGACGTGGAGCAACCGGCTCTTGCTTTACTTGGGAACTTCCGGGAAACAAAGCGCCGGTGTCTGGGAAATGCACCACTGAAGCTCTGGGCCTACTGCGACACGGGGAGGGGGAGGGGGAGGGGGGGGCCCATGTTTCTTGTATGTCTAAACTATGCTTCGAGGATAACCACGAAATGGTGATCTTTCAGACCTCCTATGTTTGAAGAGATTGATTAGTCGGTTCAATCATTTATCTCTGTTTCATCATTCGTTCGTTGCCACCCCCCATATATGTTCTCATTCTGCTTAGTCTTCAGTCTACCCATTTTTCTCTGGAGTGATGTCCACCAAGAAATCCGGATTTGGACTATGGTGTCGGTTTCCCTGAAAGGCTCTCCAATCGGCCGGGTGCCAGTGGCTTTCCATGGAGCAAAGGAACAAAGGTGCTCTCTCTCTCTCTCTCTCTCTCTCTCTCTCTTTTTGGGGATCGGGGAAAATTGATTTAGCCTTCCAGAATTCAGTCAAGCACCCCCCCTGCAAGTGGTTCATGATAAATACCCTCCTTTTGGTAGGCTTCACCTTCTCCAAAAAATGCAAAACAATGAGGAGTGTCCTGTGAGCTCAATCTATTCGCATGCCTTTTTCTTTAAACTAGTTTCAACATGTAGTCTGTAGTTTCGCTTCTCGCTTTCATCGCTTCAATCATTTACTCACTTCCTGAGTGGATTGGCCAGAAAACGTCCGAACAATTTGTTTACCGCTCAAACGGTCCAAGCCCAAAAAGTTTAAAGTCCATGAAACTCAGGACGTGCGTTTCGAGACGTCTCTCTCGCTCGTTTTTGTCTCGGGGCGCGAAAGAACGCGCAAAGCGCAAAGCGCGCGCTCCTCGAAGGTGACGACGCCCCGGCGCTTCGTGTCCATCTTCTGCCAGGTCACTTGCCTCGATCGATCGATCGGTCGCTCGGATCCGATGGGAAGCCAGGGCGCAAACAAGTCCCAACCCCCACGGGACAAAAACGTGGAAAAAACACGTTCCTCTTGGCCTGGAAAGGCCCATTTTGTTTTGTTTGGCTGTTGCTTGGCAAGGGGGTTCCTCAAGGGACCTTCATGCTCGCTCCCCCCTCCCCCCCCCCGCAATATGTGAGCTTTGCGCCATATGGTTGTCCCTACTTCGACTTGTTTTTTCGCTGTGAGACCAGTGGAAGGCCTTCCCAGGGAGGAATTCCGCTGATCCAGAGTAGCAAAGAGAACCATGGGAGGGATGATGCTGCTTGATGGTCCGCAATCGCCGCGAATAACGTCGCCAATAGTCACACTGTTAGGTTGCAATACTGCCTTTGTACCAGAGTGGGGCAAACCCCTCGGACAAACATGCTTGAACCACCATTCTTTCAACTTGTTTAAACCATTATTTGCTTTAAACTCGTGTTAAACCACTGCTGTTTAAACATGCTTAAACCACTATTTGCTTTGAACTGGTTCTAACCACTTTTTTTTAAACATGTCTAAACCGGTATTTGCCCACTCTCCTTTCTGGGCTAGGTCCTCCAGTAGAGAGGTTAGAATAAGGGTACCATGTTTTTTCTGTAGTCTGTTTTAGCAGGGGGACCCTCCCCAAAAAAAGGGTAAAAGGGCACCTAGCTGGGGGACCTAGTGGGTATCTCAGTAACATATCTTTCAGCCAAGCGACAGCGGCGCGTCGAAGCGCATGAGCCGACAGCTGCGGCAGAACTCGCTGAAGGACAACGAGCCTTTGCCTGACAGCGGGAAGTCTTTCTTTTGCAGGGCAACCCGCCCCCGCCCCCCCAACAAAAGAAGAAAGTAGATAATGAATATATATATATATATCATGTATATATATATAATAGCAATATATAAATTCATAAATGAAGAAATAGCAGCTTTCCTTCTGGATTCCCTGTAATCACCAGCCAACACAGGGTTCCCCTCCCCCCTTCCACCGAAGAAAGAAATCAAGAACACACCCCGGGTCAATCGAACATCTCTCAACAAGAGCTGCGACTTTGGTTCTAAACGCCAGGTGGATTTTCATGGGAGAAGACATGGCACTGCCGTGTTTGGTCGATCTGAAAGGGATTTGGACTAGCACGATTGACTGAATGGACCTTGTGGAAACCGGTGTTGGGCTCTTACATGAACTTAACTCTATCCTCAGATCACAAAATGGGAAAGTTTAACTTGTGGGTTAAGTTTGGAAGCCCGACAACTAAACCAATGAAAAACATGGAAACACTTTTCTGGAATGGGACTAGTTGCTAGGAACCGCCAAGTTAAGATGGTGTAGTAAGCCCACTAGTGGGTTTACAGAAAAATATCAGCTGGCTTTTCCTCGTTGTCCGAACCGTTGGGGTATAAGGGGCGAACAAAATACCAGGTTGCTCCTATGGCTAAATTTAGTTCGAAGTACCCCCAACCCTTATTCTAATTACTTCATCAACCCTTATAGGAAGTGGGTTGCCATAAGCTGTGACTACTGGTGGTTGGCAACCTTTCTAATCCAAGTAAACCCCACTTGTTACCCTTGATCCTACTGGGGCTCGCTGAGGGGGGTCACGCCGCTATCCCAGAAAGGTTCTCAACTAGAAACCAAAACCGAAGTACCCCCAGCAATTTTGGGCTCAAGCTCGGGGGAACAGCGAAACACCCCGGCAACAACGAAGAATCAATGGGTCATAGGGGAAACCCTTTGCGCAAAACACGAAACGACGACACGACCCAACTTCAACACAGCAACAAGAAGCGCAACACATCAAGGCAAAACGATCGCATGTGTCAGTCGGCAAGAAGGGTCAGTCGCCCAGGCCTGGAAAAAGAAGATCGCTTGCATGAGTACCCTGCAGCCTACAGAAAACGCGTAGAGTCCTCATTTTGTGGGGGTTGAAAACGGGGGAAAAGGCCCAGGCTCACCAACTTCAAAAAAGACAAGCCAGACCCAGATGGAAGCGCCATATTCTGCTGGTTTCCCTTTCAAACCGGCCCACCAAATGGGTATAAGCTCCCAAAAAAGACAAGCCAGAACTCCTCACAAGTGGTTGGTGGACATGAATCCCCACCTAAATGATGTCCACCATTTCGGGCCCCCTACTAACAAAAAACAATTCATGGACGCGCCCCAAGCGACCGCCCCGGTCGTCGTCTCCCAACGCGAGGCGACCGCGACCGCCGTCTTCGGCCCAGCTGCCCCGGGCATCCATGGCTCGCCACCCGGCCAGCACCGTGCCGAAGCGCCGCGCCAGGAAGTCGCAGAGCGCGTGGACCTCGACAGCGCGGCGCGGAGGGGACGAAGTTTCGACATGGGATGGAACCACATGCCCAGCCCAGGCAAAACTTCCCCCAATAATAGAAACCAAACAAGCGGGAAAACATACAAAGACCCGGTTTCGGCCCCTGGAAGTGAAACATACGTCCAGTAGTGAAATCGGTGCCCTTTCAAATAAATCAACAGGGGGAAAACACAAATAATAAGCAAATGGACGCCTACATGACATGGGGGTTGGTCAAAGTTCTGGCCCCTGTTCAAAGACCATGGGACATGAAAGGAAGTGAACTTAACTATGTACTGCTTAAGAAGGGGGGTTGATGAAGAAAGGTCCGGTAACCATGAAATGACCATTGGTTGGAAAACCGCTTTTTGCAGATTCGATGTGTTTCTCTGGTATCTCAGGCAACAAATTTGAGAGCAAGCCTTTGGTCCAGTCGTGTATCAAGGCTCCAGAGGTTCCGTTCAATGACCATTGGACGGGACAGGTATGGAGCCATAGAGAACAGGGGAAGTAAGAACTTATATGGCTTATATGGGGGTTGATCAAAAGGTCTACATGAAATGAGCACTGGTGTGAACAACCAAAAAAACTGGTTGCAAAACCAATAAAACAAAATCGATATTTCCCACATGGGAAAAGTTGCCTTCATGGCCATCGGGGGGGCCAGGATCAACAGCCATATCAGGCAAAACTTAGTTGGTGGATTTAAACCCCTGGTTTTGGTGGAGGACAAATGGGAAACCACCCCTGACCGGGAGTAGGATTGCGTGTCGGTATTGTATTAAGCCCAGATTCATGAACCCCTGGTTGATTCATAGGGGGGTCACCCCTAATAATAGGACGGATTTGTAAATCCGGGGTCAGGACTGCGGAACATCGAACCCACTTCTGTGATACAACAGAAAGGGCCTAACCCCCAAGACGTTCAACCCCATCAAAAGCGGGAGACTCCCAAAAGCATCACAGAAGTGCTTGGATAAACCCCGAGTGATCCCACAACCCTGGCGGCCATTCACCTTGCAGATTGGTTTGAGGGCTTGAACCTCCATGGCCTATTGCTGGTCTTTACAACCCTGCGGGTAGCAAAAAACACCTCGTTTGTTGCAGCTACCCACTAGACATGAGGAGACAAAATACAAAATACACAAAAACACATGCAAAGGCCGGTGAAGCTGTTGGTGTGGGTCTTGGCCGGCTTGGTTTCAGCAGTCTTCAGATGGATTGTTCAAAATAGACATGGCGATTGAAATCTGCTCATATTATGTCGTATTTTCTACCTATTTGTTCCATTAAATTCATCTTTGGAAAGGAATTCATATTAACGTTCTAATTCACAAATATATCCTAAATCGATTGAAGCTAATATTCAAGCTCTAATACCTAAATTATAACTGATCTGTTCTGCCCTTTCTTTGGTTGACTTAAGGTTCACCCCCTCCAAACAATGGGAATGAAAAAGGTGCGAGAGCAATCAACGTGTGTGGGAAACAACAGGTACAAGTCAATGCATGCCATCCCCTCAGCGACTTCGCCCACTTCCCCGCCTCGCCCACTTTTCTTGCCCATCCACTCGTCGCACTGAACAGGGGTCACTGGATGTCCCCTTCAAAAGTTGGCAATTTAACCCGCTTTCCATGTCTAGGTCGCCCAGTAGAGAGGTTAGAATCAGAATAAGGGTACCCTTTTTTTCTGTAGTAGGGGAACCCTCCCCCAAAAAAGGGTAAAAGGGCCCTACTGGGGGAGGGGGACCTAGATTTTGAAACTCCCACTGTTCGTGGTTCCAAAAAGGGAAAATTTGCTCGGACACCCTGCACCCGGCGCCCTCCGAGCCTTGCACTTCTCGTTGTAGCAGGGCCACTTGGCTCCCTCCGGCGCTCGCTCTAGCACGGCGCTGTACTCTGCGCGGGTCTTGGCCAACTCGGCGATGTGCTGCTCTGACTCTTCTCGCCTCGCGGATTCAATGCGAGACTGTCTTGGTTGCTGTTGACCCTGCAAAACGGTTTTGACATTTTGTGGGTCCAATGGACAATCCCACCTGTTTCAACCAAGAACTTCAAGTCCAAAAAAATCGTCATCAAATAGCCAGAAAGCGTCCACAAAAGGTGACTCCGTGACACTTACCCGAGCCACACTGGTGGTTCGGGAAGCAACCGCTTCCAAGCCATTTCGTGAAAACCTCAACATGTTCACCTTGACCCAGGGGGCTCAAGATTCCTACAGGAAGGTGTCCAAGCAAACATTATGTTTAGTGTCTTTCCCTTTGCAAGGGAAAATAGACCTCTTGAAAGGGCATGCCAGGGCTCGAAATGGATCTTGAACCAGGAGGCCGTCCTTACACGGCGCAAGCGGACCGTCTTCCAAGTTAGGGATTGTCAAACAAGGCGCCAAATGAAAAGAGGCAACCATCTCAAAAAGGGACAGAAGCGAACCAAACAGTCCCCAAAGCAAACATGTAGACTTAGACGAAACAGGATTACAAGTTGCATGAACACTTACAACACAACCATGCCACCGATCAAATGGAAAGAACATGCGCGGAGGGTCAAGCCGGAGGGACGAAGTTGCAACATGGTATCCCGAGGATCAGCCAGCAAAGCAAAGCACAGAAAAGCATCGCAACACATAGTATTAATCCAAACAGTTCAGCAACAAAAACAACA